GCCCGCCACAACGCCCGGCTATTTTTTGGTTGCAGCTGTCGTTGTTGTTTGGCGGACCTGGGCTGGATTTGAACCCTCCAGCTCAGATGTATGTGGCTGGCGCCTTAGCCGCTTGAGCCACAGGCGTTGAGCCCTAGCTATTTTTTTGTTGCAATTGTCATTGTTATTTAGCTGACCCGGGCCAGGTTCAAATCTGCCAACATTGGTGTGTGTGGCTGGTGCCCTACCCACTGATCTATGGGCACCACTGGTGGCTTTTATTATTATTATTATTATTCAACTTTCCTCATTGATATTCTCTCTGAGACTCAACTCCTACAGTGGTGACTACTCATTCTTTCTGAGTACCAAATTCCAGTTCCATAGGTATATTTTTCAGTTTTACATTTTAAAAGAAAAAAACTTGGTATAAAATCATGTTTAGGAAGTTGTATGCATCTTCTTTTCCCTGAGTTCATTCTATCACACTAACCAGCAGAGGGTGCACAAGAAAGAGAAGCCTTTGGCAGTTGGTGGGAAGGTCTCTCACAGAAATAAGGACATAAGGACATTGTTCTGATGTTCTTGACCAAACTGACCCTGATTGACAGAGGAAGTTGGCAGAGAATGTGGCCTCTCAGTTAATCTGTCTGCTTAAGTACCTGGCTAACAAAGAAACCGGAGAGTTAAGCATTCTACCCCTCCCAAAAGTAACTGGATATTCTGACTTCAGGCAGAATAACACATGTCCAGCTTTTTTGCACTGAAACTCTCACACTCACTGTACAGCTGTGTTCCTTTCCTGGCATGCAGTTTTCTGTCAGGTGGCCCTGAAGGTCCAAATAGTTCACATCAAAACTATCGGGAAAGAAAAGAACAGAAAGATAAATTAAGAAAGGTCAGGCTCAATTCCCATCCCAGCCAGAGAAATGTAGATGGGGGATGGCAGCTGTTGCAAGGGCCCTAGGGAAGCTTCCCAATCCACCAGCGCCTGGCCTTGCCCCCAATCCAACCTGGAGTAACTCTGCAGTAAGGTATGCTCCTGTGGTCTTCTGTGTGCTTGGGTCTTTTGTTCAGTCTGCCTTGCTTCCTCCCAATGTCCTGCTTTGCGACGTGAGCAGCGCAGATAGGCCAACAGCCTGAGTGGTTCCCCTCCCAGTCTAGGACCAAGGGAATCACGGTTGGCGGAGAAAGCACAGCTTCAGGGAAGGCCCCTGCAAAGCTGGTGCCCCGCGTGTTCCAGGCGTCCCCGGCCCAACTCCTTTTAAGAAAAGCCTTTGGGCGCTAAGGTTTCTGGGAATGGAGCGTGGGGAACCTGGAGGCCGGAAGTCAGCACTCGCCCTCACTATCACCTTTGGCCGCACGAGCTTTGCAGGAACCCCCTGGCGTCCTTGTACTGCCACTGGCTCCGGAACCCACATGCAATGGGCGATGGACACAGCAAGAACCTGAGGCCACGCGGTTCTCGCCACACACCTCGCGCAGCAGCCCTCGCGCTCTGCGCGTCGCGGGGCCGACGTCCTTCCTCTTCCCCGGAGACTTCGGGCCTACGACTGCCTGTACACGTCATCCCCATTGGCCGAAGGCTCACGGGAGGACCAATCAGAGGAGGAGAAGAGCTTCGGGCGGGAGCATAAGTCTCGAGGGATTTGACGGGCTGAAGAAAGATCGCTGGGCTGCTGGAGGTAGGGGGAAGGGCCCGTGGGGGGAGAAAGCTTTAGGAAACCTTATTCTTACAGAGAACTCGACGAAAACACCGAAAAAAGGATAGGGACGCTGTAATAGGGCGGCCTACAAGGCCTTTGAACGACTCTCCATCTTCCTCTTTAAGGGGCTGCGAATGGCCTTGACGCTGTTAAGAGCGCTCTAGGCTTCACAGAGGAAGGAGCTTGTGGAAGGCTCTACTCACACTTTGTCTCCCTATATCGCTAATGTAGATATCGCCTTAGGCTAGAAATGTTCTGGAATATGGTCCTTGGGATAGCTTCTAAATTAAGTTTCTTTCTTTTTTTTTTTTTTTTCCGGAGACAAAGTCAGTCTCCCTTGGTAGAATACTGTGCTGTCACAGCTCACAGTAACTTCCAGCTCTTGGGCTTAGGCGATTCTCTTGCCTCCGCCTCCCGAGTAGCTGGGACCACAGGCGTCCGCCACAATAGGCCCGACTATTTTTTGTTGCAGTTTGGCTGGGGCTGGGTTTGAACCCGCCACACTCGGTATATGGGGCCTGCGCCCTACTCACTGAGCCACAGGCGCCTCCCTCTTTCTTTTTTGAGACAGCGTCTCACTATGTTGCCCTTGGTAGAGTGCAGTGGTGTCACAGCAACCTCAAACTCTTGCGCTTAAGCGATTCTCTTGCCTCAGCCTCCCACGTAGCTGGAACTACAGGGGCCTGCCACAACACCTGTCTATTTTTTGTTGCAGTTGTCGTTTAGCTGGCCCGGGCTGGGTTTGAACCCGCCACCGGCGCTGTAACCACGGTGCTAAGGGCAGCAAACTTAAATTCAGTTTCTTCACTGAATTTAACTCGTACGGTCACCCTCGGTATATGGGGTCAGTGCCCTATCCTACTCCAAACTTGAATGTTACAAGACTGGTGACCGGAGGGGGAAATGCAGAAATTCCCTTGGGGAATAGTCTCTTACTACCTTCCACAGACAATTTATTTAGCAGTTCCTGAGTGGAAACAGCTGTTATCAAGGATGATACTAAAAATTTAAAAAGCTCCGCTGGGGGCCCATAGCTCAGTGGTTACGGTGCTGGCCACATGCACTGAGGATGGCGGATTTGAACCCAGTCCAGGCCAACTAAACAACAATGACAACTGCAACAAAAAATAGCCGGGAATTGTGTGTTGTGGTGGGTGCCTGTAGTCCCAGCTACTTGGGAGGCTGAGGCAAGAGAATCGCTTAAGTCCAAGAGTTTGAGGTTGGTGTGAGCTGTGACGCCACGGCACTCTACCCAGGGGGACATAGTGAGACTCTGTCTCAAAAAAAAAAAAATTAAAAGATCCCAAGAGAAGTATTTGCAGAGAATTCCAACCCATGTTATAAATCTGGATGGTGGTTCTTTCCCCCGTGTGCAATAGGGCTTGGGTCCTGGCTTGGGTTACAGCCCTTCCGTAGATATTCAGTGATGTCCAGCTCTGAGTGAGAATAGTTTAATCCAAAGCCATTGGTGACAAAGTATTGTGAATTGAAAGGGTGTAGTCCCTGCTGAAACTAACTGGAGGTGGAAATGAAGGAGGATGCCTAAGAGAAACCTGCAAAAGGGCTCGGCACCTATAGCTCAACCGGCTAAGGCACCAGCCACGTACACCTAAGGTGGCGGGTTCGAATCCCCAGCCCGGACCCGCC